ACATGTTTCCCCTCGAGTCTACAAAGAACAAGATATTTAGGTTAAGAATTTCTAGATAGATATTTATTAGTGGTGAACCTATAGTGAGTGGTTGAGATGGATATTGTCACACTGTGTCTATCTAATAATTATTTTGACTATTGATAAATGTCTTGCTTGCTTAAAAAAAAATCAACCACTTAATCTAAACAACCTTGCAATTGCTTCAAGCAAATTAAGAGCCCAATGTGTGATCATCTGATTGCCTATTTGTCAGTATGGTATAAAACCTGAAGAGGTTTGATTTATAATACTTTTAACAGCAAAAACCTTTCAAGTACTCACATGGGACAGACTTTAAACTGCAAGTATTTGGAAATTTTATTTGATAAAGTACTAAAAATAAGGGATGTTTATTAAGCACTAATGCAGAAATTATTAGTTCATTGACCAACCTAGAACAAACTTAAACATGTGAAATCCATCAACCATGTTATTAAGTGAAGGGAATCTGACAGTATGTCTATCAACACTGTGCCACATATGCATAATGGACCCTCTGATATACACTGGGTACGGAAAGTATTCAGACCCCCTTAAATTTTTCACTCTTTGTTATAGTGCAGCCATGTGCTAAAATCATTTAAGTTCATTTTTTTCCTCATTAATGTACACACAGCACCCCATATTGACAGAAAAACACAGAATGTATGGGTGTTCCCTGGTTTAAAGTTAACTGGGATATTGTGGTTGCGAAATATCCTTTTTAACTTCTCTGATAAACCAGCCACATAAGGGATGACAGTGTTATCCCCTCGTTTCTGGTTTCTCCCTGTTGGTGTTGGGCCTCTTCCTAGCTTTGGAGAAGGCCCACTTAGGGTATCCACAAGCCCCAAGGGAGTTCTGGATGTGCCATTTCTCCTTCTTGGCCCCTTCTGCAGTTGTGGGCACTTCCTCTGCCCTGTGATTTAGAGTTCTGATGACTCCCAGTTTGTGTTGAAGTGGATGGTGTGAGTCAAAAAGCAGGTACTGGTCTGTGTGTGTAGGTTTCTGATATACTTCTACCTTCAGGCTTCTGTCCCCTCCCAAGTGGACTGCACAATCCAGAAAGGCCAGACAGTCATCTTCACGAGTGAATTTGATGTTGTCATCCACAGAGTTGATATGCTTGGTGAAATCCTCTACCTCCTGGGTCCTGATTGTAACCCATGTGTCATCCACGTAGTGGAACCAGTGGCTGGGAGCGGTACCGGTGAAGGAAGACAGGGCGTTCTCCGGGAAAAGGTCACAGAGGCCAGATTGAGATGGTTTGGACATGTGCAGAGGAGGGATAGTGGTTATATTGGTAGAAGGATGTTGGAGATGGAGCTGCCAGACAAGAGGTCAAGAGGAAGGCCAAAGAGAAGACATATGGATGTGCTAAAAAAGGACATGACGTTAACTGGGGCAAGAGTAGAGGATAGACTTAGGTAGAAACAGATGATTCGCTGTGGCGACCCATAACGGGAACAGCCAAGAGAAGAAAAAGATGCCAGCCACTTGCTTATGGCGTTCCATGTATGCCCTGCCTGCTAGCATCTTGCACCCCACTGTTATGTACTGGATTGTCTGAAGGGCATCTTTGCACAACCTGCACCTGGGGTCCTGTCTGGTATGGTAGACCCCAGCTTCTAATGATCTTTTACTTAGAGCCTGTTCCTGTGCTGCCAGGATTAGTGCCTCTGTGCTGTCTTTCAGTCCAGCTTTATCCAGCCACTGGTAGGACTTTTCAGTATTAACTTCCTCTATCTGATACTGGTACATACTGTGCAGGGGTTTGTCCTTCCATGAGGGCTCCTGCTCTTCCTTCCCTTGTTCCTCTGGTTTCTGTTGTCTGAGGTGTTCACTAAGCACATCATCACTTGGGGCCATCTTCCTGATGTAATTCATGGATCTTTGTTGTTTCAGCCTGGATAGTAGCTCTGACGCTCACTAATCCTCGGCCTCCTTCCTTCTGCTTAGTGTACAGTCTTAGGATGCTGGACTTGGGGTGAAACCCACCATACGTTGTAAGAAGCTTCCTTGTCTTGATGTCAGTGGCCTCTATCTCATCCTTTGGCCAGCTTATTATGCCAGCGGGGTACCTGATGACTGGCAGGGCATAGGTGTTAATCGCCCAAGCTTTGTTCTTTCCATTCAGCTGACTTCTCAGGACTTGCCTTACCGTCTGCAAGTACTTGGTGGTTGCTGCTTTCCTTGCGGCCTCTTTATGGTTCCCATTTGCCTGCGGGATCCCAAGGTACTTGTAGCTGTCCTCAACATCTTCTATGTTGCCTTCTGGTAGTACAATCCCCTCAGTTCTGACTACCTTCCCTGTCCTCGTTACCATTCGGCCACACTTATCCAGTCCAAATGACATTGCGATGTCCTGGCTGTAGATCCTAGTGGTGTGGATCAGTGAGTCGATGTCTCATTCACTCCTGGCATACAGCTTGATGTCATCCATGTAGAGGAGGTGGCTGATGGTTGCTCCATTCCATAGTCGGTATTCGTAACCACTCTTGGTAATGATCTGGCTGAGGGGGTTCAGTCGTATGCAGAACAGAGCGTCTCCTTGGTAGATACCGCACTTGATGTTGACTTGTGCTTGGTTGGCTTGAAGTTGGCCTCTAGGGTTGTTTTCCAAATCCCCATGAGATCTTGATGAAGGCTCTTAAGCTTGTCATTTTTCTGATTCTACCATAGAATTTGGTACTGACATTAATAAATCTATCATGATAAATTCATTTCAGCCTCAGCTATCTTTTAACTTCAAGCTGAAGTGGAACGCTACAACACCAGTCCTATCATGCAACATCTCAGAGAAGTGTTACCTGATGGTGTGTCGCAAGAGAGAGTTGACAAGCATGTCTGATGCAACTTGCCACAAGACGATTAAATCTTGGTCTCTGCAGTTAGTCCATCAGCAATCCTGGTATTAAAGTACATGATTTTGTCAACCAATGCCTGCCTTCACAGTACAGCTTCCAGCAGTATTATTAATTCAAAGTAACTTTACTTAAATGTTTCTGGCAAAAATAGGTAGCCTATTACTTTTGCAAACAAATTAATTATACCTTTATGCCATTAATGTCAGCAAATAATGAATATACTGTATAGTTTTATAGTTATGTAGAAGATATTAAATGATTACGCTGCTTAGGGCAGAGACACACCAAGCCAATGGTTGACTGTTAGCCACTGTTGGGCCATCAGTGAGTGTCTGTCTGGGCTCATCCTCCTGATATTGAGCTTAGTGAATCCATGCAGGAGAAGAGAATGGTTCCAGGAAGCTCCTTAAGACTGTCGCTGTAGTATCAATGATTTCACCCATCTAGTGTGTTTTCACTTTGGTTTTTCGCCTCTACAAGCTCCTTGTTCCACTTCCAAAAGACCAAGGGAAGAGAATGGCAATGCCATATGTCAGACATATTCTTGAATAGAAGCAGCTGTAAACAGCAGCTGTTTTGAACGACAGGTGTTTTGTTTACAGTTTATACTTCCACAATCTAGCTCTTCTTTTTTGTTTTCCCCATTCTGAATGGTAAATACAGATATTGCCAACTGCTGGTAGGAGGAGTTATTTACAGTCAGAGAAAAAATTATCTGAACCCCAGCTGATTTTGTAAGTTTGCCCACTAACAAAGAAATGATCAGTCTACAATTTCAATGGTAGGTTTATGTGAACAGTGAGAGACACAACAATAACAAAAAAATCCAGAAAAATGCATTACAAAAAAGTTAATTTGCATTTTCATGAATGAAATAAGTATTTGATCCCTTTGCAAAATGTGCTTTAGTACTTGGTGGCAAAACCTTTGTTGGCAAACACAGAGGTCAGACGTTTCTTGTAGTTGGCCACAAGGTTTGCACACATCTCAGGGGGGATTTTGACCCACTCCTCTTTGCAGATCCTCTCCAAGTCATTAATGTTTCGTCGCTGATGTTTGGCAACTCGAACCTTCAGCTCCCTCCACAGATTTTCTATGGGATTAAGGTCTAGAGACTGACCAGGCCACTCCATGACCTTAATATGCTTCTTCTTGAGCCAATCCTTTGTTGCCTTGGCCGTGTGTTTTGAATCATTGTCATGCTGGAATACCCAACCACGACCCATTTTCAATGCCCTGACTGAAGGAAGGAGGTTCTCACCAAAGATTTGACGGCACATGGCCCCATCTATCCTCCCTTTGATGTGGTGCAATTGTCCTGTCCCCTTGGCAGAAAAACACCCCCAAAGCATAATGTTTCCACCTCCATATTTGACGGTGGGGACGGTGTTTTTGGAGTCATAGGCAGCATTCCTCCTCCTCCAAACACGGCGAGTTGAGTTGATGCCAAAGAGCTCGATTTTGGTCGCATCTGACCACAACACTTTCACTCAGTCCTCCTCTGAATCAGTCAGATGTTCAGTAGCAAACTTCAAACGGGCCTGTGGACAGGTCTCTTTTATACAGGTAACGAGCTGAGAGGGCTCCCAATGTCAGCTCCTTACCTGTATAAAATACACCTGGGAGCCAGAGATCTTGCTGA